TTGTAGTGCATGCACAAAAAGGCATTCGAAGTGCTCCCATTTTATGCATTGTTGTTACGCTCGTAAATCTATCAAAGCATCTGCAATCGTGCATCAGTCCATGCGTGAATTATTGCGATTATAGTAGGTAAATGGAAACAAAAATCAAAAATATTAAACGCAAGTACCATCACAAAATAATAATAAAAAATAACAGTTACAAATTCAATTATGAATTACTCGGTTATTATTGCGGGTAAAACAGAGGGGATGGAAGTGCAAAAAAGAAAAATACGCGGGATAACTTAATTGTCTCTCATAAAACTAATTTATACTTTTCACAAAATTATGTTCCATTCAAATAATGGGAAAATGTGGACCTCATTGTACACTGTTAATTACGTCTTAATTACACTCGCGTATTCTTGGGTGTACATTATTTATAAATATTGTTTCTAATTGCCGCTTCTCAACTACCTTTAGTTTATATTACATTGTTTTAATTTATGTATTTGGTTAAATTCGTATTATTCCTCAATTAGTTATGTTTTATAACAAGTTTATAAACTTGCTTTAAATATGTTCATATAGATCATGAGATTTTATTTTTTTTTTAATAATTTCTAAATACAGACTTACAAACTAGTTTCATTGCAAAGGATTGTTCGTAAGTCGAATTTGTTTGTAAGTCGGGGGAATTTTAAAAATATACTTATCTTACCACACTTTAGCTTGGTTTTTACTTTTATATATGTTAAATTCCATACTGACTGCATAAATTTGTAAAAATACATTAAAATAAGCAAAATACTTGCAAATATTTTTAATGTAGACATCATAATTATCTAATAAAAAACGACAAATAAACAGATGGTAAATCTTCCAAAAATATTATATTTTATTAAAGAAATTATGAATTTTTGTCCTTGTAACAAATTAGAGCAATTAGAATTTTGTTAGTAAATCGGGAGATACCTGTACTTAAAATATCGGGTCGTATCTATTTAACCCTTTACAGCTCAGTGATTCCAAATGGAATCATTAATTTTTCAATACAATTTTGTCCTTCGACGATTAAAACTGTTGGAAACAACTAATGTGAATTGAAGCTACATGTATTTTTAACAGTAGGTAATGTTGAATAATGAAAAAAAAACAGGTAAGATGTTTTTTATGGTTAAAGAAGTGATTTTATAAAGATTTGAATAAAACAAAACAAAAATTTTAGAAAAATAAATTGGTCTGGAAAGGGTTAATTTTATATACAAACCAAGAATAGATATTTCATGAAGTACCTAGAAATTACGTAGAATATGTACTTTATAAATTTTAACGATAAAATATTAAAAAGAGAATGTATGTATTTTAATAGTATTATATAAAATTTTGTGTACTTATTTTTATTTTGCTCAATTAAAATTTAGTTTATTTTGAAATTTTCAAACCGGATAATAATGAAGCCGCACTATGCGAGGTATTACTATATTAGTCCCAATAATCGTTTTAGATTTACTCAATTTATTCAATTTTAAAAAATGTTTTATTATGTGTAAGTGTAGATACAATTGGCGACAATTTAGATTTACTACAGTTATTGATATTATATAATGAATTATTAGCAATGTGTAAAATTGTATATTGGTACTAACAAATGTTGAAGATTTTATTCTAGTTATGTAGAAATATACTAATTACAATGTAGTAATCGTTCAATTAACTGCACTTTTTAACATGACGTTGGCCATGAAATGATTAGAGGTGAATCTGTTGAAGAACAATAGATAGGATAATACCCGATAACAGTAGCATGGATCCGCATGTTCATTACTGGAAACGAACTAATTAGGTGGTTAGTTAGTTAGTGAACAGGCTTTGATGCATTATTACATATCATATTGTAATGAAAATATTTTCGTTTGCCATGAAAATATATATACTGTGCACGCGTGTTTTGATATAAACAATTTCGAACGGTGCAGACAGACATCCCATAATGGACGTGTCAGTTCGGAAATCAAACGCGAATTCATTGATGCATCATTCAGAGCCGGAGTGAATCGCTTTTAAATTATTTCTCGCTTTCCGAACCTGAAAATAATAATAATCTGCGGCTGCGAATCATTAAGAATCTGAGACAATGAATGTGCGATTAATGATTTCCATTGAGTCTCCATAGTGGTTCGAGCATCCCCAGAGGGCCTTTGCTCTCTCACAACACGTCGCTCTCGTTGATTGTATCATACACTCTTGATGAAAATGCAGCTCTCGCTGCTGCGTACAAAGACATCCGATATATTGAAATTGATCTGATCACGAAGACGGACAAGTGCGACATGCTATATCCCGTTGTAGTACATCCCTTTAAGAGATTAGGGGGGGCCAAAGTCATGTTCGGTTAAATTTACTGACATTCGGTAATTAATATCGTTCATGTTATTTTTTTTAAATTTCGTGTTTAATGCAAGAATTTATGCGAAATTTTAACGAATCCGGAAGAAATTACGTTTCAAAAACAAGGTGAAATCAAATATTTATGTTTTTCTTTAAAAAAAACATCAGAGTGAAAGTGTTTGCTTTTAAGATTTAAAATATTAATTATATATTAAGACGCAATTGACTGATAGTTAAAAGTTGACTGTTTCATATTCTTTTTCTGTGTAGATGAATACTGTGTGATGTATAATAGAGTGTGCGAGTGTTCATTAGCATCATGCAATTATTAACTTCACATCTTGAATTTCATCAGCGGCTAACAATCCATTAAAGTATGTACCCACTTGAAAAAAAGGAGAGTGCAGACTGTCGAGGTTCATACCTGAACTTTCATTATAAAGTTCGCTTCGAGCGAGCCCTTACACAGGAGGCACATATATATATATAAATGTGTGTGTGTATCATTGGCATCTTTTCTATGCACGCGTGTAACGCTGCACTTTGCGCACATATCCCATCATTTGGTTGAGTTCACTCTTATTACCCCACATAGTCTATTGTATGCACGCTCGGGGACAATACAAATTTCTGGTCGTCAGAGTGCTAAAAACTCTTCACATGCAACACTCGTGTATACATACAAACTAATATTGCGCAACAGCAATATTACAATCCATATACTTTAAGAGCATATTTTCCAAATGCATACGACGATTGTTCGCTTTCATTCGTTTCCAATAGAATTCATAATCATCGCTGCGGAAATGCGCATAGTGCAATTTCCATAGCGTGCATTTATATAGTAAAATCTAAATTAATTGATCATATTTAAAGTAAAATAATTACCTAATAAAAGCTAATGTACATTTCCATTTTATATAATAATAATTTTATTAATTATTTTATAACTAAAGTTTTAAATTTTACTTTAATGAGATGTGACTATTTCTACCATAATAATTCGATTGATAACATAAAAAAAAAACTTAAAAGAGTTCTTATTTGTTACAATTAGTTTTATTATTATGTAAAAATAGAGCAATTCTTATAATATGTTTAGAGTCTTTTGAACTATTGTTTCATTATGTACTTGGATCATGTTAACATCCTAAACAGCGTTTGGTCATGTTAAGTTTCCGATGAACATCATAGACTTTACATTGGATTGATTTAATTAAATATTAATTAAACGTGCGACCTGAGTACTGTCACAATCAGCGGAAGGCGGGAGCGTAGCAAGACCTTAATTAACTGCCAGGTGATTTAACTGAAGTGATAAAAGCATTATATATTATGCACTTTGAACATTAGATCAAAAATTAAATTAGAATAATTTTATGAGATTATATCAGAATTTTGTATTCTTATTTTAGAAGAGAATAATGTAAACTAATTTGTTCTTAAATCTGATACGCGTTTTTTTATATATATAATTATAAAACCATGATTTTGACTTTTGATGTCATAACAAAGAAATTACCTTTCGTCTTTTCTCATATATAATGAAGCGTATTACAATTGTTTTGTGGCTCATTTCACGCATGGCAACCCATTTCTCTCGGCAATGTGAATCACCGAACAATGAAATAAATATATCTTAATTATTTTCCACACTAAATGATATTTTGCCGTGGAAGCTGACCCGGAAATAATCATCACGATGACAGTCGGAAAGTCAACTGATTGAGGTCGGTCTGAACGTTTTAGAAAAAAATCGATGCGAAAGAAAATGAAGCAGAAACTGCTGAGATAGGTATAAAGAAGTCGATTGCTGATCTCAAAGAAATATTACAACAACTACAACAAAAAAGCAATAGCTTTGAGTGTTCCACTTTATAGCATCATTTAAATATATGGTACTATATTATTACTTTTAGTTTCAATGTCTTTAAATTGTAAATTAACGAAAATTTTTTGGAACAAAGCGAAATTATCATTCTTCCTACATATATTTTTATTCCTAAGGAAATGCGTTTTTTTTTATATATAAAATACAGACGAGTGTTATGAAGCCCTCTTCATTACTGTGACAGGAGCGGCTATAATTCAATTTAATACTACAGTTACGCTCCGGCAGCTACACACAAAGGAAATCAATATTTATAATAATCCAAAAGAAAAACTTTATCCTTGCTTATATTCTTAATTCCAAAGTCGTTTTCTAACAAAAGGGACTTCATCTATTAAATAGGACTTTCTTTGTTGCCGTAAAAAAATCGCATATAAATAGCCCTGCGACTAATGGGTTGGAAAGCGATAGTAGACAATGTAGAAAACGCGAAAATTTTAAATAGATTACAACACGCTATTTCAGAATTACAAGTCACTTTACTAAATATAAGTACAAATAGAAGGTAAAGGTATTTCTTTAAATAGAAATTCAATGCAAACCCACCATTATGCATCATTTACTTCAAGTGTAAACATATCGAATGCTAATCTAACTTAACTGAATAAAATAAATAAACATTTATACTAAAATTGTTATTTATCACGGATTATTGATTATAAATGATAATGATAGTAATAAAAGATTGTCTTGTATTACAAATATTTACTTTATTAGAAATATATATATATCAGTCACAATTAATACTATTGAAAAATAAATTGTTTTTAAAAAATAAAAAATCTTCATATTTATTAATAAAATTATTCGGCGTTAACCAGTTTGTAGAAATGCGAGTCGGTGTCGTCCAGAAGTGTTTGAGGATTATCGAACTCGACGATTTCGCCGTCGGACATTACTAAAACTCTGTCGCAATCGATGACAGTTTGAATTCGATGTGCGATGTTAATGACGGTACTTTTCCTAAAAGCCGATCGCAGAGTCTGCTGGACGACTCGATCAGTTGCGTGGTCTACATTTGCGGTCGCCTCGTCAATACACAAAATCTGAAAGACTCGTACATTTTTTTTATGGGTTCATAATCATTCGAGAGGATTCGTTTACCTTTGCCTTATGCAGAATAGCCCTTGCTAAACAGAACAATTGCCGTTGACCAACAGATAAATTGCTACCGCCGTTCGTAATGGGCGCTTCCAGACCACCCATGCGCCTAATGGTTGGAGATAAATCCACAACGCCTAATGCATACCAAATTTCCTGCACTTGGAATTCCTCCAACGGGTCCAAATTTTCGCGTACGCTACCACTGAACAAGAACGGATCTTGCGGAATGCAGTAAATCCTGGATCTGTTGGAACAAATCATATTTACGAACTATGCGTTGCATTTGAAGAGCCTCATTACCTGAGAGCATCAATTGAAATGTGCGAGATGTTCACCGTGTCAACTGTAATAACCCCTTGGCTCAACTCAACCATGCGAAAAAGTGAAGTCAACAGTGAACTCTTTCCTGCGCCCGTCCTTCCGACCACCCCAATCTTCTCCGCCGGTCTCGTTTCGAAGCTTATTCTCTTTAATGAAGGTACTAGATGATCCCTGCAAGGGCACG